CAGCTGACCTGACGCAGACGCAGACGCAGCTACCTGAGGGGACTCAGTGGTCAGTGTGTACAAGTCTGACCCCGGCTGCCGAGTGAAGGTAGCCAGGTGACGACCCGTCTGGTCACACGTGCAGTGCGTCACACGCTCGTAGGCAGGGGTGAACTGGTGAACACCCGCGTCCTGGAGCGCAGAACCCGCCACCAAGTTTGTAGAGAACGAGGGGAGGTAGAGGCCTAATAGCGTGCCAGACGGGACAGCAGGACAAGGGAGGGCTGTGGTGGAGGTTGCAAGGACCGGGCCCCATAAGGGGTCAGCCAGGGAGACAGCAACCGGTCTAGGAAGCTGCTCTAGGGCAGTGCGGTCGCGAAAGAAACAGCGCGAAGCACGTGAGTCCAATATGAAGGTGTGCAGTGCCTCAGTAGACGTAGTACCAGCAGACACAGACGCACTAGCACCTAGGGCAGCAGCCTCACCAGGACCTAGAGCAGCAGACGCACTAGCACCTAGAGCTGCAGCCTCACTGGTCCCAATACCCGGGTCGGGCGGTACACTCAGGTAACAGTCACCCTCAACACTAATAGTCGATGCATACATAGCAGCAAGGATAGCATCATAATCAAGAGCAAAGATATCAATCCCCTTCTTAAGCAGATCAGCCCAGCGGGGCAGCTCAGAGGCGTCAGGAAACTGCTCGCGCCAGGCGTCGTCAAGGCGAAAGAAACATTGCTGTGCCGTGTGAAACCTACCACAGGTATGGCCACTGCGGTCACCTGTGCGGATGACGTATGGGCAGGTACCTCCACCCCTAGTCCCCCCACGCTGAGAGTACCACTCACGGAGCTGTTGGGGCAACTGGGTCTCGCTGGGACGCTGCTGCTGCTGCCTCTGGCCGCCGCCGAACCCGCCACGCTGCACCGCTCCACCGCGCCCTCCACCAGCTCCACCGCCGCCACCACTGCCACCACCACCCCCACCCCCTCCACCACCGCCGCCTCCACCACCCCCGGTTCCGCCACTGCCCCCCCCACCACCAGCACCACTCCCACCACCGCCGCCACCGCCGCCGCCCCCTCCACCACCACCTCCCCCGCCGCCACCTCCGCCACCGCGGCCCCCTTTGCCCCTGCCGCCCTTGCGCCGCCCACTGGGAGCGTACGCAGCTCCGACCCCCTCAGCACCTAGGAAGTCGACAGCAGCAGCAGATGCAATGGAGGGGAGAAGGGGGGAGTGGGAACATCCCTCAAAGAAGGGAGTGGGGGGGTCGCCACGAGAGGCACCTTCAGCTACAATGCTCTTCTCAGCTGCTAGGAGCTCCTTCTCGAGCAGGTCAATAGTGAGGTCTGTGAGGGAGAGAGTGAGAAAGTGGTCCTTGACAGCGCGAAGATAGTCAGGGAGGCAAGTGACTAGGTGGTAGAGGGTGAGGTACATCGGGGGGGGGGGGGGGGTTCTTGGCTAGGAAATCGGGGGGGAGCGCGGCACGGTAGCGGAGATCACTAGTACGGAGGTGAGTGATGAGGTCAGCTACAGTGGCAAAGGCAGACAGATTCGGGAAGAGATAGGGCAGTGAGGGACGGCCTATCGCAACAGTAGCAGGGGAGGAGTAGCGCGCAACTACAGCATCGTACAGTTCCTTAGCAGTCTTATGCTGGCCGAAGTGCTCACGCTCATCTAACGGCAGGTGGCTGCGAACGGCTAGGCGAGCGTATGCATCACGGGTCTGCCACTGTGAGCGAGCAGTACTGTTAGCAGAGCAGCAGGAGCGGGAGCGACGCCTGACGTGTGGTCATACAGGGAAACATCGTCATTGGCAGTGATCTGGAGGAATAGGTGCAGGTCATCGAGCCAAACATCAAACTTAATCGGTCGGCCCCTTGCGTCAAAAGTAAGAATAGTGGGACTGGCCATAGTGGTAGTAGCAGTAGCAGCAGTAGCAGCAGTAGCAGTAGTAGCAGTAGCAGTAGCAGGAATAGCAGTAGCAGGAACAAGAACAGTAGGTGCTGCACGTGGGGCGGCGCGGCTCGGTCAGGGCGGCGCGACTCGGGCGGCGCGGCTCAGGTAGGGCGGCGCGGCGCGGCTCGAACTAGGCTACGCGGCACGGTGTGACGGTGGGCCTGTGCGCGGGCGGTTGTAGCGGGCGGTCCGTGGCTGTGCGTGGGCTGTAGTCGAGCACGGGCGGCGGCTTACGAGGGCGATGCGGCGGCCTACGGGCGGGGCTGCGGCGCTCTGGACGGCCAGGAGGGCCGGTCGACGGGTGGCTAGCGGGCTGCTCGTTGCGGCGCTAGTTGCGCGGGCAGCTAACAATCGGTGCGCGCGCAGAAAAGGCCGCGCGCGGGCTGCTAGCGGGCTACGCACGCTAAAAAAAAAAAGCCGCGCGCGGCACTAGCAAGCTGCGCACGGACAGCAGGAGAAGGAGAGGCGCACGAGGGCGCACTAGGAGAGAGGCGCTCGAGGGCGCTAAATCGATACGGCGCTCGAGGGCGCTTCTAGCGGTGGGCCCTTAGGTAAGTGGTCCTAGGTCTAGAACCTAAGCTCTAATGCCATGTCAGAATCAAGAAGTGTTGGACTAGAAACAAGTTGGGAGTACAAGTATGAAACCCTAGACAAATGTACCCCCTAAAGGCTAACCCACTGTAGCCTACAAAACAGAAACATATCCAATGTTTGACATTCTTCACGCAAGAACCAGGCCAAAAAGGCTCTATTAGGTGTATTTGAACATGGGCCATTCAAATATGCAATAAATTTTAGGTTGTTACGTGCTTTTCCCAACGCCTATAATGATTCATGCGCTTTCTAGGCACTTGGCGGCAAAAACGGCCAAAATCGTAGTTGCCGAACTTTTCTTCGCGCAAGAACCAAGCCGAAAAGACACTAGTTGGTGTACTTGAACATTGGCCACTCGAATTTGCAATAAAATTCAGGTTGTTGAGTGCTTTTCCCTATGCCTGTAGGGATGCACGCGCTTTCTAGGCGCTTGTCGGCGAAAATGGTCGAAATCGTAGGCGCCGAACTTTTCTTCGCGCAAGAACCTGGCCAAAAAGGCTCTAGTAGGTGTATTTGAACATGGGCCACTCGAATATGCAAACAAATTCAGGTTGTTGAGTGCTTTTCGCTACGCCTATAGGGATTCACGCGCTTTCTAGGCGCTTGTCGGAATAAACGGCCGAAATCGTAGGCGCCGAACTTTTCTTCGCGCAAGATCCAGGCCGAAAAGGCTCTAGTAGGTGTATTTGAACATGGCCCACCCGAATCTGCAATAAGATTCAGGCTGTTGAATGCTTTTCCCTACGCCTATAGGGATTCACAAGCTTTCTAGGCACTTGGCGGAAGAAACGGCCGAAATCGTAGGCGCCAAACTTCTCTTCGCGCAGAACCAGGCCGAAAAGGCTCTGGTAAGTGTATTTGAACATAGGCCACTCGAATATGCAATAATATTCTGGTTGTTGAGTGCTTTTCCCTACGCCTACAGGGATTCACGCGCTTTCTAGGCACTTGGCGAAAGAAGGCACCGAACTTTTCTTCGCGCAAGAACCATGCCGAAAAGGCTCTGGTAGGTGTATTTGAATATGGGCCACTCAAATATGCAATAAAATTCAGGTTGTTGAGTGCTTTTCCCTACGTCTATAGGGATTTACGCGCTTTCTAGGCGCTTGTCGGCAAAAAACGGCCGAAATCGTAGATGTCGAACTTTTCTTCGCGCATGAACTAGGCCGAAAAGGCTCTAGTAGGTGTATTTGAACATGAGCCACTCGAATATGCAATAGAATTGAGGTTGTTGAATGCTTTTCCCTACGCCTATAGGGATTCACGCACTTTCTAGGCACTTGGAGGAAGAAACGTCCAAAATTGTAGGCGCCGAACTTTTCTTCGTGCAAAAACCAGGCCAGAAAGGCTCTAGTAGGTGTATTTAAACATGGGCCACTCGAATATGCAATAAAATTCAGGTTGTTGAATGCTTTTCCCTACGCCTATAGGGATGCACGCGCTTTCTAGGCGCTTGTCGGAAAAAACGGCCGAAATCGTAGGCACAGAACTTTTCTTCGCGCAAGAACCAGGCCGAAAAGGCTCTAGTAGGAGTATTTGAACATGGGCGAGAGCAGCGAAGGGAGCATGGTACGTGCTAGGGGGTGCTTGCAGGGGGGGTGTGAACTGTCATAGGTTGTCGCCGCGCAGAGGCAAGAGTCGTATCTGTTGCTTGTGGGTCCACCACTTGCCACCTGCTGCTTCTAACCTTCTTCTATGTGTGTCTCTCTCTCCCCCCATGTGTGTGTCTCTCTCTCCCCCAATGTGTGTGTTTCTCTCTCCCCCCATGTCAGTCTGTCTCTCTCTCCCAATCTGTGTGTGTGAGCCTCATGGCCTGCGAGGCGGAGAGCAATGGCAACCATGGATGCCTCAAGTGAAGGCGTGGCGCAGGAGTGGGAGAGCAGCGGATGGAGCGTGGTATGTTTCAGGGGGTGCTTGCAGGGGGGCCATGAATCGAGTCATAGTGTGTCGCCGCGCAGAGGCAAGAGTCGTGTCTTGTTCTTGTCTTTGCCATTCGCCTCCTCTCATGCTGCTCCTAAACCTCCCTTGTTGCGATGCTTCTGTGTGTGTGTTTCTCTCTCCCCATGCGTGTGTTTGCCTCGTGTCCTGCGAGGTGGACTGGAATGGCAGCGAGTGGACGGGGGCTGTGCATGTGCGTGTGGGGGGAAGGGGGAAAGAGGACGGGGGCTGTGCATGTGTGCGCGTGCATGTGTGCATGCCTCTGAGTGTGCCTCTCAGCCTTCAAGCTCCAGAATGTGGTAGTTTTCTCGTGGTGTAGGAGTGGGAGAGCAACACACGAAGCATGGTACGTGCCAGGAGGTTCTTGCAGGGGGGGGCATGAAGTGAGTTGCCGCGCAAAGGCAAGAGTCATGTCCCCAGTTCCTGTTTCTGCCGCTCGCCTCCTCTCCCGTTGGTGCTAACCCTCCCTGCAGTGGGGGGTTGCGGGCCTTGTTATCGTACATTTCTCACCTAGTGCTCGCTTCTCAATGGCAATCTGTCGTGAATACAATTCACAGGTAACATTTGCCGTCTTATCATCTTCTCTTTTGCAGCTTCTGAGTGGCTCCTCTTTCTCGTTCTTCCTTCCTTGTCCCATTACTGTCCCGATGGCAGCTTCTCCTTGTAAGTGGCTCTTCTATAGTGAAGTGCAAGGCGGGGTAGAGGACATGTGGGGTGCGCTGCCGCTTCCTGGTGCCGCTTAAAGGACAAGTGGGGTGGGCTGCCGCTTGCTGGTGGACCGACCACGAACAGCTTAAGAAGATGGACCACTGATGTGCTTTGCTTTGCTTATCTGTCCTTAAGTGTGCCAAGGTTTGCTTAGGTGTGCTTAGGTTTGCATAGGTGTGTTGTGTTGTGCCGGGCTAGGATGGGCCTGCATATTGTGGAATAGGTGGGTGGGATGGGCAGGGCAGCCTTGAAGGTGCCTGGGCACCAACAAACACCCAAGCAGGTGCTGTGCCGTGCCAGGCAGCCACGCAATGGTGGAACGAACGCGCTAAACACAGAGGCAGGACACTGAAGCACGCGCTGCATGCAGCATGCATCAAGTCATGTTCCATGCATGCAACATGCAGAACAAGCTGCCACAAAGAAGTCACTAAGAGACAGGCAAACAGCAAATCGGACAAGTAGCTAAGTAGTAAAACAGCCAACCAGTCAACAAACACTCCAGCCTACCCGCCATCCAGCAAACCAGTCTACCTCAGCCATCCAGAAATCAACACTCCAGTCCAGCAGCCTGCCTACCCCACATCCTGGCCTCAAGATTCAACAGGGTACCGTACACTTTTTAACAAGACTCGACGTTCAACGTCGTATGGGTTGCGTAGGTGCTGGAAACTCGATATGAGCTGACTGATCTCCATGTATGATCTCCCCATCTGTAATTGGTTTTTCTCATAACGCATATCCGTATGTGTGTTACAATTACGACTAGACCAACCGTATTACCCCGGGCATACCACCCCACGGTGCTATGATAACTACACAAAAAAAGGGGGGGGGGTCTTGTCATCGGAAAAAGCTACATTGCACCCGGGTCGTTACATAATGTATATTATTTTTAGAGCACAAAAGGTTGAGAACAAAATGTACATGTTTGAAGCGGTGGTAGATTGTTGGCTGGGTGCGCAAAACCGAGGACTGGGCAATAACGTTAGTCTCGTGGGTTAGCTGCCACATTGCAAGCTCCAACAAGGCCCACAGTCAGGCCCTGATTGGACAGAAAACACACCCCCTCGTCGCTCGACGAGGATTCATGCAGTCACAAAGGCGGAGCGCCCGCAACAGCCTGAGCTGCCTCGCTGAGGCGGTCACGTCCTTGTACTGAGAAGGAGTTCATCCTTCTTTCTGTGCAGTGGCTCCATTCCACGAACTCGAGCAATGCTCGGCAGAGTGTGCTAACCCAGTGCTATTTAGGCAAAAACTGCAATATTACCTGTACATAACACCCCCCCCCGGGTGCTATATCGGATCGCCCCAAAAGGGGGGTATAGTAGAAATGAGGCCCGCTGTAGCACCCCCCCCGCACAAGCCACCCGGGGGGTGCTCTATTTCGGCGGGTGGTATGTCCGGGGTAATACGGAATTATTAACTTAAAACGGTATACTGTATATGGTGCTTCGTTCTGCGCTGGCAGAAATTGTATCGTTCTACGGTGGCAGAAATTGTCTTGTTCTGCGCTGGCAGAAATTTCATCTCTGCGCTGGCATCCGTCCCTTTCACAGCTGCCAACTAAATTTCTGCGCTCTTTTCTTAGTTCTTGTTTTCTGGTTCCTCTCAACTCGACAAGCACACCTGATCTGCTCTTATTCCTCTTCCTTCCCCCCACCCCAATTTCTCGCCAGTTCTCCCACCCAGCCGTCGCTCTTGCTCCTATCCCGCCGTATCCTCTCCCTCACTACCCACCTTCACCTCTCCTATTCACCTCACAGTCACTCAGCCCCACCCCGCGATCTCCTCTTCCTTACCTCCCCTCCGTCGCCTCTCCCTCCTCCCCGATGTCGCCTCTCCCTCCTCCCCGCCGTCGCCTCTCCCTCCTCCCCGCTGTCGCCTCTCCCTCCTCCCCGCCGTCGCCTCTCCCTCCTCCCCGCCGTCGCCTCTCCCTCCTCCCCGCCGTCGCCTCTCCCTCCTCCCCGCCGTCGCCTCTCCCTCCTCCCCGCCGTCGCCTCTCCCTCCTCCCTGCCGTCGCCTCTCCCTCCTCCCCGCCGTCGCCTCTCCCTCCTCCCCGCCGTCGCCTCTCCCTCCTCCCCGCCGTCGCCTCTCCCTCCTCCCCACCGTCGCCTCTCCCTCCTCCCCGCCGTCGCCTCTCCCTCCTCCCCGCTGTCGCCTCTCCCTCCTCCCCGCCGTCGCCTCTCCCTCCTCCCCGCCGTCGCCTCTCCCTCCTCCCCGCCGTCGCCGCTCCATCCTCCCCGCCGTCGCCTCTCCTTCCTCCCCGCCGTCGCCTCTCCCTCCTCCCCGCCGTCGCCTCTCCCTCCTCCCCGCCGTCGCCTCTCCCCCCTCCCCGCCGTCGCCTCTCCCTCCTCCCCGCCGTCGCCTCTCCCTCCTCCCCGCCGTCGCCTCTCCCTCCTCCCCGCTGTCGCCTCTCCCTCCTCCCCGCCGTCGCCTCTCCCTCCTCCCCGCCGTCGCCTCTCCCTCCTCCCCGCCGTCGCCGCTCCATCCTCCCCGCCGTCGCCTCTCCTTCCTCCCCGCCGTCGCCTCTCCCTCCTCCCCGCCGTCGCCTCTCCCTCCTCCCCGCCGTCGCCTCTCCCCCCTCCCCGTCGTCGCCTCTCCCTCCTCCCCGCCGTCGCCTCTCCCTCCTCCCCGCCGTCGCCTCTCCCTCCTCCCCGCCGTCGCCTCTCCCTCCTCCCCGCCGTCGCCTCTCCCTCCTCCCCGCCGTCGCCTCTCCCTCCTCCCCGCCGTCGCCTCTCCCCCCTCCCCGCCGTCGCCTCTCCCTCCTCCCCGCCGTCGCCTCTCCCTCCTCCCCGCCGTCGCCTCTCCCTCCTCCCCGCCGTCGCCTCTCCCTCCTCCCCGCCGTCGCCTCTCCCTCCTCCCCGCCGTCGCCACTCCATCCTCCCCGCCGTCGCCTCTCCTTCCTCCCCGCCGTCGCCTCTCCCTCCTCCCCGCCGTCGCCTCTCCCTCCTCCCCGCCGTCGCCTCTCCCCCCTCCCCGCCGTCGCCTCTCCCTCCTCCCCTCTCCCCCCTCCCCGCCGTCGCCTCTCCCCCCTCCCCGCCGTCGCCTCTCCCTCCTCCCCGCCGTCGCCTCTCCCTCCTCCCCGCCGTCGCCTCTCCCCCCTCCCCGCCGTCGCCTCTCCCTCCTCCCCGCCGTCGCCTCTCCCTCCTCCCCGCCGTCGCCTCTCCCTCCTCCCCGCCGTCGCCTCTCCCTCCTCCCCGCCGTCGCCTCTCCCTCCTCCCCGCCGTCGCCTCTCCCTCCTCCCCGCCGTCGCCTCTCCCTCCTCCCCGCCGTCGCCTCTCCCTCCTCCCCGCCGTCGCCTCTCCCTCCTCCCCGCCGTCGCCTCTCCCTCCTCCCCGCCGTCGCCTCTCCCTCCTCCCCGCCGTCGCCTCTCCCTCCTCCCCGCCGTCGCCTCTCCCTCCTCCCCGCCGTCGCCTCTCCCTCCTCCCCGCCGTCGCCTCTCCCTCCTCCCCGCCGTCGCCTCTCCCTCCTCCCCGCCGTCGCCGCTCCATCCTCCCCGCCGTCGCCTCTCCATCCTCCCCGCCGTCGCCTCTCCTTCCTCCCCGCCGTCGCCTCTCCCTCCTCCCCGCCGTCGCCTCTCCCTCCTCCCCGCCGTCGCCTCTCCCTCCTCCCCGCCGTCGCCTCTCCCTCCTCCCCGCCGTCGCCTCTCCCTCCTCCCCGCCGTCGCCTCTCCCTCCTCCCCGCCGTCGCCTCTCCCTCCTCCCCGCCGTCGCCTCTCCCTCCTCCCCGCCGTCGCCTCTCCCTCCTCCCCGCCGTCGCCGCTCCATCCTCCCCGCCGTCGCCTCTCCTTCCTCCCCGCCGTCGCCTCTCCCTCCTCCCCGCCGTCGCCTCTCCCTCCTCCCCGCCGTCGCCTCTCCCCCCTCCCCGCCGTCGCCTCTCCCTCCTCCCCGCCGTCGCCTCTCCCTCCTCCCCGCCGTCGCCTCTCCCTCCTCCCCGCCGTCGCCTCTCCCTCCTCCCCGCCGTCGCCTCTCCCTCCTCCCCGCCGTCGCCTCTCCCTCCTCCCCGCCGTTGCCTCTCCCCCCTCCCCGCCGTCGCCTCTCCCTCCTCCCCGCCGTCGCCTCTCCCTTCTCCCCGCCGTCGCCTCTCCCTCCTCCCCGCCGTCGCCTCTCCCTCCTCCCCGCCGTCGCCTCTCCCTCCTCCCCGCCGTCGCCTCTCCTCCTCCCCGCCGTCGCCTCTCCCTCCTCCCCGCCGTCGCCTCTCCCTCCTCCCCGCCGTCGCCTCTCCCTCCTCCCCGCCGTCGCCGCTCCTTCCTCCCCGCCGTCGCCGCTCCTTCCTCCCCGCCGTCGCCGCTCCTTCCTCCCCGCCGTCGCCGCTCCTTCCTCCCCGCCGTCGCCTCTCCCTCCTCTCCGCCGTCCCCTCTCCCTCCACGCGGTTGCCTCTCCCTCCTCCCCGCCGTCGCCGCTCCCCCCTGAGAGCGTGGGAGCGCGTGAGAGAACGTGGGAGTTTGCGTGTGAATTTCTGTTGCGCTTACTTTGTTTTTCAGCTGCATTCTCTGATTTTGTTTTCTTGTGCAACTAATGCAAGTTGTATCCTCTGGTTTTGTTCTTGTTTGTGCAGGGAGTGAGTTGCATTCGCTGATTTTCCTTTCCTGTGCAAGGAGTCCAAGCTGCAGCCTTTGTTTCTTGCGGAGAAAAGAGATGGGGAGAAGGGAGATGAGGGAAATGAGGGAGGGAGGGAGGGAGGGAGGGGAACGGGGGACAAGATAGAGATAATTAATTTATACAAGGCTGAAATTCATTCATTATGCTTGCATGCTTATTACAATAGCTGTATGTTTTTGCGTTGTGTGTGTCTGTATATGTGTGAGCGTGTATGTGTGTGAGTGCGTACATGTGCATACGTGTGTTGTGCGTGCTTCAGGGTGTGGTGCTAAGTGCCTCGTGAATGCAACTCGGATTGTGATCGTCGGTGGGGCAGCTTTGCTAGCCTCTTCCGTACCATATCAATCTCAGTTGCAGCACTGATGCATTTAGCATCCGCTTTGAAACATTCTTAAACGTTGTCTTCTGTTTTCATAATCATTTATGTGTTATCGTCTGTGCTTGTTTCGGGGGTGTGGTGCTAAGTGTATCGTGTATGCAACTGGGATTGTGATCGTCGGTGGGGCAGCTTTGCTCGCCTCTTCCGTACCATATCAGTCTCAGTTGTTGCATTGATGCATTTACTATCCCCTTCAAAACATGTACGACGGTTCTTGTACACCATCGTTTTTGTGGTCATTTGTGTATGTGTGTTTCTTGGTGGTACTGTAGTATTTTTTGTGTTGTCCTTTGTGTTCGTGTGTCATTCGGTACCATATCATCTTTAGTGCTAGAACAATTATCCAATTGTTCCATTCGCCGTACTTATCGACGAGTATGGAATGATTGGAAACATTTGTTTTCACATTTTTGGGGAAGCTATGTGAACAGTGATTTCTTTCAAAATTTATAAGAGAAATTCACAGTTCACATCAGCCAACCAAAAAGTGAAAACGAATGTATAAGGTTGCTACGCAACCCAAAAATCAATAACCGTCTATGTACAGTGTACACCCGTACTGACAACGAATCAAGTGAAAACACCTCGCTATTGCACACTCCCGCTCGCCTCGCTCTGCCATTTTGTCTGACAAATCCCTCCATTTCGTCAGTGATCGTCCCTCGTCAATCATCCTCCGAATCTCCTCTGTCCCGTGAGTTGTCCCACCGTTTCCTGTCGTCTTCAACTAACACGCAAGCCAGGCGTCGTGATCGGTGCCGTGAAGTGATCGCGAGCTCGGCGTCGCGTCAGAATCGAGGCAGCCATGGCGGCGCGGCTCGCCGTTTCAACGGCCGTCGCAGCGTCGTTTCGTCAAATTCAGTTCTTCAACGTTGTAGCGTCCTCCCATCCCGCCATCGCAGCCTGCGAGATTGCATCGTTTCGCCACGCTCTGGTTACCAATGCCTTCGCCGTGCGACCGCCGCTAGTCGCATGCGCGCTGCTCCATCGCGCCTCCCCTGCTGTCGATTCGTCTCACGGGAACTCAAATCCGATCCGTTCGACCAGCAGGCGCGGCGATTCCCGTTCTTCCGCCTGTAGAGACGAACGCGCGCTCCCCTCCGCACACGTATTCCCCGTCGCTCCAGTCTCCGTTTCCCTTCGGCCATCCCTTCTCCTAGACTCGCCTGTCAAAGAATCGACCATCCCTTTGGCCGTCGACGCCGCTCTCGGCATTCCTCAGGCCGTCATCGCGCTCCCCCTCTGCTCCGCGTCTTCCGCTTCTTCCGCCTTCCGCCGATCGCTTGCTTCCGCTTCCCCTTCGTTACCTCCTTCTACACTCCGCACATCAGCGCACCCCGCCAATTTGCTCGTCCTCCAGTTTTCTCCGTTACCACTTTTGAACCACCAACGGCCTCGCTTCTCGTCTTCCTCTCCCTACCCCCACTCTTCCGGCTCCTCCCCCTCCTCCCCCTCCTCCCCCTCCTCCCCCTCCTCCGCTTCCTCCCCTTCCTCCCTCTTCGCCTGGTCTGCCACTCAAGCCGCGCTTTCCCCCTCCTCCGCTTCCGCCCGCGCCTTCTCCACGTCGTCCGCCTTCCCCCCGCCGTCGCCGCACTCGCGCGGAGCGCTCACGAGCAGATGGGCGGCGGACAGGAAGCGGAAGAAGGAAGCTTCGAAGAAGGTGCGGCTGGCGATTAACGCACTGAGGGAGCGGCAGTGGCAGGCGGAGAGAAGACGAGCGGAGCAGGAGGGGACGTGGCAGGGGCAGGAGCAAGGGCAGGGGCAGGAGCAAGGGCAGGAGCAGGGGGGGAGGACTGCGGACAGTGGCACGAGCAGCAGCGTCAGCAGTAGTGGCAGCATTAGCGGTGGCAGCAGTGGCAACGGTGATATGCGAGGGATGGTGGGTGAATGGATAGCTCGCCTTCAACAGTTGCAACACACCTCCACTTCCTCCTCCCCTTCCTCGCCCCTGCCCTCGTCACCAGCACCACCACCCCTACCACCACCTTCATCAGCAGCAGCGGGCAGCAGTGTGGGGTCGACAGTAGGAGGCGTGGAGCCACTAGTGGGACCACTTAGACCACAGAGCAGCGACGAGGTGAGGGGTGACTGTATGGCACGCACTGTACTAGTCCAGTTTTCCCTACTCTGCTCTCCCTTCACCCCCCCTGCGCCTCTCACCGCGCCAGGTATCACTGGCGTTGCGTCCCATGCGCCCTGATCCCCCCCACTTTGCTTTTCCCGTTTTTCTCCTCCACTCGTCCTCCCCCCCGCCTCCCACGCCCACCAGGCGTCAGTGGCGTCGCTGCTGGCGTACCCTGTCATTGCTGCTGCTGCGCTCTCACATTCCCCGCTCTGCTCTGCCCTTCTCCCCAACTCTGCTCTCCCCTCTCCCTGCCCCCCACGCCCGCCAGGCGTCACTGGCGTCGCTGCTGGCCCGATCAGACCATGTGGTCACTCGCAGGGTGGAGGTTTGAGACGCCTCAAAGCTCTGCCTCCCCCGCTCTTCCCCTCCCCCTGCCTGTCCTCCTTGCTTCCCCTTCCCCCTGCCCCCCTCGCCCACCAGGCGTCGCTGGCGTCGCTGCTGGCACGGTCGGACCTGGTGGTCACTCGCAGGGTGGAGTGGGGCAACGTGCTGCTGGGGTACGAGCAGGTGCAGTGCGGTGCCCATGGCTCCACTGGTGCTCCCATGGAGTGAAACGTTGTCGTGCGTTGCATGCCCCCCTCTGGTTCCAATCCAACGCTCCCGTCTGCATCCTCGCCCTCCTTCCTCTCATTCTCCCTCGCCCTCCTTCCTCTCATTCTCCCTCGCCCCTGCTCCTTACTCGCATGTGCCCCAGTTTCTAACTCGTCCTTTTCCTCCCATGTGTCCATGCACGGCCCGCGGATACCAACAGAGTAACCAGTATGCTATCGTGGACGCGCACACAGGCGAGGTCAGTCCCAACTCACACACCTGCAACGTTGTCAGTATGCAACCCGCTGTGCTCCTTCGTTGCTCCAATTGTGCGTTGTTAGCACCACCATCCCCTTCCCCCCCCCCCCCCCCCCCCCCCCCCTCTCTCTGCCTATGTGCACCCCGATTAGATCTCCATCTCTTGAGTTCCATTGTTCCCAACCCGTTTGGCACCCTGCGCGTCAGCAACACCTTACCGCTTATGCCTTTTCCTCTGTATTTCCCCGTTGCAACCCCCCCCCCATGGCCTCCCACCATGCCCCACCATGCGTCATGCGGCATCTCTGCAGCACGTGGGGGCTATTGTGGAGAGCAGCAACTGGCTCATGCGCCAGGTGTGAAGGGGGTGGGTGCAAGGGGGTTGGTGTAATGGGGGTGGGAGCACCGCACGCTCATACGCTGCACCGCCCGCTCATACGCTGCACCGCACGCTCATACGCTGCACCGCACGCTCATACGCTGCACCGCACGCTCATACGCTGCACCGCACGCTCATACGCTGCACCGCACGCTCATACGCTGCACCGCCCGCTCATACGCTGTACCGCACGCTCATACGCTGCACCGCACGCTCATACGCTGCACCGCACGCTCATACGCTGCACCGCACGCTCATACGCTGCACCGCACGCTCATACGCTGCACCGCACGCTCATACGCTGCACCGCACGCTCATACGCTGCACCGCCCGCTCATACGCTGCACCGCACGCTCATACGCTGCACCGCCCGCTCATACGCTGCACCGCACGCTCATACGCTGCACCGCACGCTCATACGCTGCACCGCCCGCTCATACGCTGCACTGCACGCTCATACGCTGCACCGCACGCTCATACGCTGCACCGCACGCTCATACGCTGCACCGCCCGCTCATACGCTGCACCGCACGCTCATACGCTGCACCGCCCGCTCATACGCTGCACCGCACGCTCATACGCTCCACCGCACGCTCATACGCTGCACCGCCCGCTGCACCGCACGCTCATACGCTGCACCGCCCGCTCATACGCTGCACCGCCCGCTCATACGCTGCACCGCACGCTCATACGCTGCACCGCACGCTCATACGCTGCACCGCACGCTCATACGCTGCACCGCACGCTCATACGCTGCACCGCACGCTCATACGCTCCACCGCACGCTCATACGCTGCACCGCCTGCTCATACGCTGCACCGCCCGCTCATACGCTGCACCGCCCGCTCATACGCTGCACCGCCCGCTCATACGCTGCACCGCACGCTCATACGCTGCACCGCACGCTCATACGCTGCACCGCACGCTCATACGCTGCACCGCACGCTCATACGCTGCACCGCACGCTCATACGCTGCACCGCACGCTCATACGCTGCACCGCCCGCTCATACGCTGCACCGCCCGCTCATACGCTGCACCGCACGCTCATACGCTGCACCGCACGCTCATACGCTGCACCGCACGCTCATACGCTGCACCGCACGCTCATACGCTGCACCGCACGCTCATACGCTGCACCGCACGCTCATACGCTGCACCGCACGTTCATACGCTGCACCGCACGCTCATACGCTGCACCGCACGCTCATACGCTGCACCGCCCGCTCATACGCTGCACCTCACGCTCATACGCTGCACCGCCCGCTCATACGCTGCACCGCACGCTCATACGCTGCACCGCACGCTCATACGCTGCACCGCACGCTCATACGCTGCACCGCACGCTCATACGCTGCACCGCACGCTCATACGCTGCACCGCCCGCTCATACGCTGCACCGCACGCTCATACGCTGCACCGCACGCTCATACGCTGCACCGCACGCTCATACGCTGCACCGCACGCTCATACGCTGCACCGCACGCTCATACGCTGCACCGCACGCTCATACGCTGCACCGCACGCTCATACGCTGCACCGCCCGCTCATACGCTGCACCGCACGCTCATACGCTGCACCGCCCGCTCATACGCTGCACCGCACGCTCATACGCTGCACCGCACGCTCATACGCTGCACCGCCCGCTCATACGCTGCACTGCACGCTCATACGCTGCACCGCACGCTCATACGCTGCACCGCACGCTCATACGCTGCACCGCCCGCTCATACGCTGCACCGCACGCTCATACGCTGCACCGCCCGCTCATACGCTGCACCGCACGCTCATACGCTCCACCGCACGCTCATACGCTGCACCGCCCGCTGCACCGCACGCTCATACGCTGCACCGCCCGCTCATACGCTGCACCGCCCGCTCATACGCTGCACCGCACGCTCATACGCTGCACCGCACGCTCATACGCTGCACCGCACGCTCATACGCTGCACCGCACGCTCATACGCTGCACCGCACGCTCATACGCTCCACCGCACGCTCATACGCTGCACCGCCTGCTCATACGCTGCACCGCCCGCTCATACGCTGCACCGCCCGCTCATACGCTGCACCGCCCGCTCATACGCTGCACCGCACGCTCATACGCTGCACCGCACGCTCATACGCTGCACCGCACGCTCATACGCTGCACCGCACGCTCATACGCTGCACCGCACGCTCATACGCTGCACCGCACGCTCATACGCTGCACCGCCCGCTCATACGCTGCACCGCCCGCTCATACGCTGCACCGCACGCTCATACGCTGCACCGCACGCTCATACGCTGCACCGCACGCTCATACGCTGCACCGCACGCTCATACGCTGCACCGCACGCTCATACTCTGCACCGCACGCTCATACGCTGCACCGCACGTTCATACGCTGCACCGCACGCTCATACGCTGCACCGCACGCTCATACGCTGCACCGCCCGCTCATACGCTGCACCTCACGCTCATACGCTGCACCGCCCGCTCATACGCTGCACCGCCCGCTCATACGCTGCACCCCCCGCTCATGTGCTGCACCGCACGCTCATGCGCTGCACCGCACGCTCATGCGCTGCACCGAACGCTCATACGCTTTACCGCACGCTCATACGCTGCACCGCACGCTCATACGCTCCACCGCACGCTCATACGCTGCACCGCACGCTCATACGCTGCACCGCACGCTCATACGCTGCACTGCCCGCTCATACGCTGCACCGCCCGCTCATACACTGCACCGCACGCTCATACGCTGCACCGCACGCTCATACGCTGCACTGCACGCTCATACGCTGCACCGCACGCTCATACGCTGCACCGCACGCTCATACGCTGCACCGCACGCTCATACGCTGCACCGCCCGCTCATACGCTGCACCGCCCGCTCATACGCTGCACCGCCCGCTCATGCGCTGCACTGCACGCTCATGCGCTGCACCGCACGCTCATACGCTGCACCGCACGCTCATACGCTGCACCGCACGCTCATACGCTGCACCGCACGCTCATACGCTGCACCGCCCTCTCATACGCTGCACCGCACGCTCATATGCTGCACCGCCCGCTCATACGCTGCACCGCACGCTTATACGCTGCACCGCACGCTCATACGCTGCGCCGCCCGGTCATGCGCTGCACCGCACGCTCATACGCTACACCACACGCTCATACGTTGCACGCTGCACCGCACGCTCATACGCTGCACCGCCCGCTCATACGCTGCACCGCACGCTCATACGCTGCACCGCCCGCTCATACGCTGCACCGCACGCCCATAAGCTGCACCGCCCGGTCATACGCTGCACCGCCCGCTCATACGCTGCACCGCACGCTCATAAGCTGCACCATACGCTCATACGCTGCACCGCCCTCTCATACGCTGCACCGCATGCTCATACGCTGCACCGTCCGCTCATACGCTGCACTGCACGCTCATACGCTGCACCGCCCGCTCATGCGCTGCACCGCCCGCTCATACGCTGCACCGCCCGCTCATACGCTGCACCGCACGCTCATACGCTACACCGCACGCTCATACATTGCACGCTGCACCGCACGCTCATACGCTGCACCGCCCGCTCATACGCTGCACCGCACGCTCATACGCTGCACCTCCCGCTCATACGCTGCACCGCACGCCCATAAGCTGCACTGCCCGGTCATACGCTGCACCGCCCGCTCATACGCTGCACCGCCCGCTCATACGCTGCACCGCCCGCTCATACGCTGCACCGCCCGCTCATACGCTGCACCGCATGCTCATACGCTGCACCGCCCGCTCATACGCTGCACCGCACGCCCATAAGCTGCACCGCCCGGTCATACGCTGCACCGCACGCTCATAAGCTGCACCGCCCGCTCATACGCTGCTCCACACGCTCATTCGCTGCACCGCACGCTCATGCGCTGCACCGCCCGCTCATACGCTGCACCGCACGCTCATACGCTGCACCGCCCGGTCATACGCTGTACCGCACGCTCATAAGCTGCACCGCCCGCTCATACGCTGCACCGCACGCTCATTCGCTGCACCGCACGCTCATGCGCTGCACCGCCCGCTCATACGCTGCACCACGCGCTCATGCGCTGCACCGCACGCTCATACGTTGCACCGCCCGCTCATGCGCTGCACCGCCCGCTCATGCGCTGCACCGCCCGCTCATACGCCGCCCCGCACGCTCATACGCTGCACCGCCCGCTCATACGCTGCACCGCACGCTCATAAGCTGCACCGCCCGGTCATACGCTGCACCGCACGCTTATACCCTGCACCGCCCGCTCATACGCTGCACCGTACGCTCATTCGCTGCACCGCCCGCTCATACGCTGCACCGCGCGCACATACGCTGCACCGCCCGCTCGTGCGCTGCACCGCCCGCTCATGCACTGCACCGCCCGCTCATACGCTGCACCGCCCGCTCATACGCTGCACCGCCCGCTCATACACTGCACCCCGCAAATACGCTGCACCGCCCGCTCATACGCTGCACCGCCCGCTCATACGCTGCACCGCCCGCTCATACGCATGCTCATACGCTGCACCGCCCGCTCATACGCTGTCCCACACGCTCATACGCTGCACCGCACGCTCATACGTTGCATCGCACGCTCATACGCTGCACCGCCCGCTCATACGCTGCATCGCACGCTCATACGCTGCACCGCCCGCTCATACGCTGCATCGCACGCTCATACGCTGCACCGCACGCTCAGAATCTGCACCGCCCGCTGATACGCTGCACCGCCCGCTCATACACTGCACCGCCCGCTCATACGCTGCACCGCACGACGCCTTCGGTTGTACTCTGTTGGTTGCCTGCTTTGTGCTTGTATCTCTCTCCACCTCTTCACATCCAGATTATTTACTCCTGGATTCACAAGCCCACTTCCCTCTTCGGCTCATCTCCTTCCTGTGCCCCACCGTCCTCTCGCCCCATGTCAGTTCCTGAGGGCGCATCGCCCCTTCACTGCGTCCATCCACGATGCACACGGCACGCTGCTGCTCACCGTGGGTATCACACTCATTCCTGAGCCCGCTCAAACTCGGTTCATGGTGTCAATCTGCTCATTTAGTCCACTCGAAGATGGCAAGCTGCTTGGGGCAGGGCTCTTGTTGTTGTGCTTATGATACTTGCTGTCTACTGCCTGTTGAGGCGCCTCAAAGGGCGCTTGTTGTTGTGCTTATAAAGCTTGTTGTCTCCTGCCTCTCGTCCCATCACCCTTCCCCCCCTGCGCCCTTCTTCCCCATGCGCCCCTGTTCCCCATGCGCCCTTCTTCCCCCTGCGCCCCTGTTCCACATGCGCCCTTCTTCCCCATGCGCCCCTGTTCCCCATGCGCCCTTCTTCCCCCTGCGCCCCTGTTCCACATGCGCCCTTCTTCCCCATGCGCCCCTGTTCCCCATGCGCCCCTGTTCCCCATGCGCCCCTGTTCCCCATGCGCCCCTGTTCCCCATGCGCCCCTGTTCCCCATGCGCCCTTCTTCCCCATGCGCCCCTCTCCATGCGCCCGTCCCCTATGTGCTGTGTCAGGTGCGGCGGCCCTTGTTTTTCATCACCAGCACCATCTATGTTGATCTGCCTGCTCAGGTGAGATTTCAGGTGCATTCAGGTGGAAGCTCAGGGAATTTTGTCCCTGCCATGCCACGTATGCCACATGTGTCAACTTGTGCACTCTTTCTCGGTATAACCATCCGATGTGCATGTGTGCATGTGCTGGCATGTCTTCGTGTATGTGCATGTGTCCACGTGTGCCTGTGTGTGCATGCCAACTCATGCACTTGTGTATGTATGTACACGTACATGCATCGCCCCTCACCATACCAGAAGGGCGTAGGGCAGGTGCACAGGCGGTGGCACCTGTGGAAGCGAGTGTACGATGCGTACCTGCAGTGAGTTCCTATGCTTGCTTCCTCTCCTTCTTACACTCACTGCTTCTCTCTGCCTGCACTCACTTCTCATGCCAGAAGGGCGTAGGGAAGATGCACAGGAGGTGGCACCTGTGGAAGCAAGTTACCTGCAGTGAGTGCTGCTTGCTTCCTCTCCTAGTGCGCCCGTTGGTCCCATTGGGATAATCGAATCCCATTGAGATAACCGAATCACAATAGGATACTCGAATCACTTCACCCATCTCCACACGTTGCTTCTTCGCTGCACTGTTTCATCACGGTGCCCGGGCGCATCATGGCTGAGCTGCAGTCCCAGGTGCGGGACTGGAGCTGCAGTCCCAGGTGCGGGATTGGAGCTGCAGTCCCAGGTGCGGGACTGGAGCTGCAGTGCCAGGTGCGGGACTGGAGCTGCAGTCCCAGGTGCGGGACTGGAGCTGCCGTCCCAGGTGCGGGACTGGAGCTGCAGTTTCAGGTGCGGGACTGGAGCTGCAGTCCCAGAGGTGCGGGACTGGAGCTGCAGTCCCAGGTGCGGGACTGGAGCTGCAGTCCCAGGTGCGGGACTGGAGCTGCAGTCCCAGGTGCGGGACTGGAGCTGCAGTCCCAGGTGCGGGACTGGAGCTGCAGTCCCAGGTGCGGGACTGGAGCTGCAGTCCCAGGTGCGGGACTGGAGCTGCAGTCCCAGGTGCGGGACTGGAGCTGCAGTCCCAGGTGCGGGGCTGGAGCTGCAGTCCCAGGTGCGGGACTGGAGCTGCAGTTTCAGGTGCGGGACTGGAGCTGCAGTTTCAGGTGCGGGACTGGAGCTGCAGTTTCAGGTGCGGGAATGGAGATGCAGTCCCAGGTGCGGGACTGGAGCTGCAGTCCCAGGTGCGGGACTGGAGCTGCAGTCCCAGGTGCGGGACTGGAGCTGCAGTCCCAGGTGCGGGGCTGGAGCTGCAGTCCCAGGTGCGGGACTGGAGCTGCAGTCCCAGGTGCGGGACTGGAGCTGCAGTCCCAGAGGTGCGGGACTGGAGCTGCAGTCCCAGGTGCGGGACTGGAGCTGCAGTCCCAGAGGTGCGGGACTGGAGCTGCAGTCCCAGGTGCGGGACTGGAGCTGCAGTCCCAGGTGCGGGACTGGAGCTGCAGTCCCAGGTGCGGGACTGGAGCTGCAGTCCCAGGTGCGGGACTGGAGCTGCAGTCCCAGAGGTGCGGGACTGGAGCTGCAGTCCCATGTGCGGGAATGGAGATGCAGTCCCAGGTGCGGGACTGGAGCTGCAGTCCCAGGTGCGGGACTGGAGCTGCAGTCCCAGGTGCGGGGCTGGAGCTGCAGTCCCAGGTGCGGGACTGGAGCTGCAGTCCCAGGTGCGGGACTGGAGCTGCAGTTTCAGGTGCGGGACTGGAGCTGCAGTTTCAGGTGCGGGACTGGAGCTGCAGTTTCAGGTGCGGGAATGGAGATGCAGTCCCAGGTGCGGGACTGGAGCTGCAGTCCCAGGTGCGGGACTGGAGCTGCAGTCCCAGGTGCGGGACTGGAGCTGCAGTCCCAGGTGCGGGGCTGGAGCTGCAGTTTCAGGTGCGGGGCTGGAGCTGCAGTCCCAGAGGTGCGGGACTGGAGCTGCAGTCCCAGGTGCGGGACTGGAGCTGCAGTCCCAGGTGCGGGACTGGAGCTGCAGTCCCAGGTGCGGGACTGGAGCTGCAGTCCCAGGTGCGGGACTGGAGCTGCAGTCCCAGGTGCGGGACTGGAGCTGCAGTTTCAGGTGCGGGACTGGAGCTGCAGTCCCGGTTGCGGGACTGGAGCTGCTGTCCCAGGTGCGGGACTGGAGCTGCTGTCCCAGGTGCGGGACTGGAGCTGCAGTCCCAGGTGCGGGACTGGAGCTGCAGTCCCGGCTTGGGGACTGGAGCTGCAGTCCCAGCTTGGGAACCATGGCGTCCCCGGGCATCATGACGCGTGAGGATTGCTTCCATTGCACAGCTCCTACTTCCATTGCACAGCTCCTACTTCCATTGCACAGCTCCTACTTCCATTGCACAGCTCCTACTTCCATTGCACAGCTCCTACTTCCATCGCACAGCTCCTACTTCCATTGCACAGCTCCTACTTCCATTGCACAGCTCCTACTTCCATTGCACAGCTCCTACTTCCATCGCACAGCTCCTACTTCCATTGCACAGCTCCTACTTCCATCGCACAGCTCCTACTTCCATCCCTCCCTTTAAGCCAGTCGCATTAACTCCTTCCCTCCGCCACTCCGCTCGTCGTTTCGTGCAGCAAGCAGCAGTTTGCGAGAGTGGTTAACCCTGGCTTTTGGTGGTGGTCCTTCGCTCTGTGCGACGCCGAGGGGCAGAGGATAGCAGAGATCACCCGCAACTGGCGGGGGTTGGGCTTTGAGGTGCGCTGGGAAGCTAGCGGGGCTTGGGATGAGGTGGGGGAGGGGATGCAGGGAAAGTTTGTGAGGTGTGTGCATGGTGGATGATGGCATGAGGGGATTGGTGAGCGTAGCACATGATGTGGTGCTTATGCTGTGCGTGAGAGGCAGCCGTTGCGGGCACCAATGCTGCAATGCGTGTCTCGTCGTTTCTGGGCATCGTGCCGGCAGGTGTGTTCACGGATTCTGGGCACCAATGTCAATGCTGCAATGAATCATCCGGTCTCTGTGTTGTTGTGGTAAACAGGTGTTCACAGATGCGGGGCAGTACGTGGTGAGATTCGGATCTGTGCGGCACTGGCAGCAGCAGCAGCGGGACAAGCGGGAGCAGCGGGAGCGGGAGGGCAGGGAGGGTGAAGAGGAGAAGGCGCAGCAGTATCATCAGCCATGGTTCTCAACAGAAGCGGACGAGGTGAGATGAGTGTCAGAAGCAGAATGGCAAGTTTCAGTGACTGATTGTGTCGAGTGCATGCCCGTTCGTCCAACCCTCTTGAGATATTTCCCTCCCACCACTGCCCTGCCTGCCCTCCCACTGCAACCGTCTGCAGGGTCCCGTGCTCTCGGTGGCGCGCCCGCTCTCGCTGCTGGAGCGGGCAGTGTGTCTGGCGCTGGCCGTTTCACTTGACAACGACTACTTCTCCCGCCACAGGTCAGTGGTCAGCACTCGCCGCAGGTCCCCTGCTCCCTGTAGCGCGCCCTCTCTCTCTGCTGGATGGAGAGAGCAGTGTGTGTGGCGCTGGCCGTCTCACTCGACAACGACTTCTCACGCCACAGGTCAGTTGTCAGTGGCCGGCACACGCCATAAGTCAGTTGTCAGAGGGCGGCACATGGCACAGGTCAGTGGGTCACTGGGCGGCACTTGCCGTGCGTTGCCTGGTATGACGGGTGCGGTTGTGCAGCATTGGGCTGGCCGTTTCATTCGACAATGACTACTTCTCTCGCCACAGGTCAGTGGTCAGTGGGCTGCACACAGCACAGGTCAGTGGGCGGCACAATCCGTGAGCTGCTTAGTATGATTGGCATTGTTGTGTGGTGGCAGCTTGTTCTATGCACCATGTTATGGCCATACATGTCGCGGTCTCTTGGGTATCTGTGTGACCACACACCAATGTGTGCTGATTCTCTATCACATGCCTTTTATTCTTGCTTGCAGCCATTCAGGTGGGATGTTTTCCTTCTTGCCTTTCATCGGCGGTGATGACGCTATTTAGGGAATCGGCCTATGAACCAGAAAATTGGTTCATATGGTAGGTGTTTTGGTTTCGATTGTGGAGAGCATGGAAGTTGAAGGGAGGACCATGGATGTTTATAAAGTGTACAGGAAGGGCTTGCCTCAATCTCCTTGCGTGCTGAGCTGCTTGGGAAGCCATTGAGGTGAGCATGCAATACAGCCAAACAGGTGGAACCTGCACTAACGAGTCCTAACGTTCGGAAAATATATCTCCATAAATCGGAGCTTTGGATTTGGTAGGAAAATCTGGGTAATATCCTAGCCAAGCTGTACCGAATACACCGTCGCTACTGGCTCGTGGTTTCCTATCGTCGCCACCCACGACTAGTGTTGGCGCGCTCTGACACACCACTGCCTGTCAACAACCCCTACTTGGGGTGGGGCACCTTCCCCAGTACCCTCCCGCCAAGTCTTCTCCACAGAGCAGGCTGGCACCTTCCGCCAACGTGGGTATTGGGCAACCGAAAACCATAGCCACGCAGCAAGTCTTTGCTGCTCGCCGATTCCTTGTCTAGCTGCTCCTGACTCATCCCAGCTATGCAGTCTCCTAGTCACACAGACTAGTTCGCAAATTTGACTTACCACCTGAACCGCAGAACGGCCTTCATTAGAAACTAATTCTTGTAGCAGCTCCGACGTCATCGTAAATCCCAATGGCGAGGGACAGCCGACTCGCCGCGCGTCGCTGCTCGCTGTGTCTTGCGCATCCCGTGCCGTCCGACCCGCGCCGCTAGGGTGTATACGCCGCTACTTCCGTTCTCAACTTAGAAACCGCAATCTGCAGTCGGGTCTGTATCGGAGGAGGGCGGCAGCGGCGGCACTTCGAGTCGCTCACACAGTCTGACTCTGGCTCTCTGGGGACGCTTGATTCTGTTGACCATCTGTACATTCACAATACTCTAACAGGCTCCACACGTGACGAAGCCAGCGCGGTTGTTATAGTCTTCCACTATCGCCAATTAATTTAGTCCAATGATGCCAACCAGCTGCTCTTGACGCGAGCCTTAGTTCCCTTCTGTCCTATTGTCACCTCATTACAAGGCAGCGCATTAGCGGGCAGCGCAGAAAGCGGCGGCAAGATGTCGGTGAGCACGTCCGCGTTATACGCGATCATGTTCCTGTGCGCCGCCTTCGTCTTCTCCTTCCTCTTCCGCGTCCTCCGCGCGCTGCTGCTGCACGCCGCGCTGCTCTCGCCGCTCCCGCGCCGATCCGACGACCCAGATTCCACCATCCACGTGCGCACCGTTCTCGTCATGGACGGAGTTCCGGAGGGCGCGCCAGCGCACGCGGGGGAAGGGGAAACGAGGGGCGCGGGAGGGGGGACAAGAGGGAAAGGGTTGCGGGCGGAAGAGATTGCGCAGCACAGCGATTTGATTCGGTACAGTGAGGTAAAGGAGGAGCGGAGAGTAGAAGAGAGGGATTTGGTAGTGGTTGAGATAGGCGAGAGGGGGGAGCGAGAGCAGGGTTGGGATAGTGAAAAGGCGCGCGCGGGGACGGAAGGTGGTGCTGAGGCAGCGTGTGAGGGGGAGGGGCAGCGAGAGGCGGATAGAGAAACGGACGCAGCAAGAGCAGGGGCGGCAGTAAACGGACAGGGCAGTGAAAAGGCTGAGCGGCGACGGGACGTGGATGGTTCGAGCGAGCGTCTTGCGAAGGCGCAGCACAAGAAGCAGGAGACGGAGGAGAAGGGGGCGGGAGCTGCACGGGCAGCAGAAGCAGGAGGAGGGGCAGGGGGCGGAGCAGTAGGGGGCGGAAGAACAGGGGGCGGAAGAGTAGGGGGCGGAGAGGAAGAAGAGGGAGGAGTGGAGGGGGTATGGGGGGCATTGGCGGTGGAGTGTTCAGTGTGCTTGACGGAGTTCAAGGAGGAGGAGCGTGTGAGACGACTGCACTGCTGCACCCACATGTTCCACCAGGTGCTTCCCTGCTGCTCTCCACATGCCAATTGCTCTGTTTTGCATGACACCTGCCCATGCATTTGCACAAGCACGCACATGCATGTCGGCAGGCACGCACGCGCGCACGCACACACACACTCATGCATACACAAGCGAATCACTCTCTCTCCACTCGTCTGCACGCTCTCTCTTGATCCTCTTCACTTTCGTGCTCTCCCTCCGTTCCTTTCTGCCTGGCCTGCTGTGTCCATTCACTGCATTTTTATTCATCTGATGTGCCTGCAACCATGCCAGTGTTATTTCTCCAATTGGTATTATGCACTGCCCACCTCTCTCCACATGCTCTCACCCCGCTGTGCCCTTTATCCAGGAGTGCATAGACGGCTGGCTGCAAGCCCACACCTCGTGCCCTCTCTGCCGTGCGTCAGTCGTGCCATCAAAGCACCATCACCAATGCACATTGCAACAAGTGTAGATACAGGTGTAGACGCTTACATATGGTTAGAGGGAGTGATACTGTGCTAGGTCGCAAAATCCCCAAGAACCAGAGCATTGGAGGGCATTATGTTTCCTCCCGACACAAAGGGTCAATCACTTATTATATAAAATTATGTGGAACACGTATATATATATGTACAAGAGGGTTGCCATAATATCGAGCATTTGGTTAGTGCTGTTTCTGCTCGGCATCTTGCAGGAATCTCCACTTCGCGCCGCTAATGTTATGTCCACGTGGTGCTCTATGATTCGTCAGCGAATGTCCCTCGGCAGGATGGCCCCCAGCCCAACCCAACCCTGCCAGGGAAAACCTTCCTCGTCCTTCCGCTCCTGCTCTTTTCCAGTCAAGTCTTCAATCTAGACTTTAGTTGGGAACATGGATTACTATTTGCGAAAAAGGCGCAACGCAGGTCGTCGTTTTAGCAACCACGAGCGCACTAGGTTTCGACGACCGTGGTTACGGCTTGGAGTTAACTCGCACACCACGCCACGCCCGTGTTTCGTTTCCACCAGCCCCATTTCCCCTAGACGGCACCTCCGCCCTCGGATCGCTCTGATCACTCGTACAGGAAAATATCTACTGCGCACGCATAATTGCTGCGCCGCCTATTTTCCGGGCCGCGCCTAAGTCTTCTAAGCGATTAAAGCCCTGATCTTTCCCATCCCCATAATGCCCCTATCTGCCGTAGCCCCTTGGCATGGCCCTTAGTCCTGAGGCACCTCATAAATTACCCTTCAATGCCTTTATAAGACATTGCCCCATTCCCCTTATAAGAAACTTCTGTCATTCCCCTCGGTCATGGACCTCGGGATTCTCCTCGCGTTCGCCGTGATGGTCGCGTCCATGATTCTCGTCTGCGCCTACCGCCTGTTCCGCGTCGTCTGGGCCGAGGAGCAGGCGGAGCGTGCGCGGGAGCGCGAGCGCGCATTGCGCGAGAGAGCTGCGCGCAGTCGGCTGGCGGAGGCGCTGGATCCAAAGCTGCTGGGGGCGTTCAGCGACCTCGTCACGTACGCGGATGCGAAGTTAGAGCGCGACGCGGATGAGAAGCTAGAGCGCGACGCGGATGCGCGTGGAAGCGCGCCGAGCTCTCCCTGCGCTGATAAGGGCTTCGTGACGCTGGCAGATGTGACTGTAGCGGGGGCGAAGCTACTAAGGGACGACGAGTCATGCGTGGGCGGCGGTGGTTGTGTACAAGAGGATGGGGCGACTGTTGTGGTGGGCATTGACATTCGGGTGGAGGGCACTGGAGCAGGCGGCAGTGAGTGCAGCAGCAGGAAGGAATGTCACCCAGGATGTGAATTAACATCGGCAGAACCGAATCGTACATTATCAGGCGAAGGTGAAGGTGAGGGTGGGGGTGGGGTTGAGATGGAGGGGGAAGCCATTGAGCGGACGCCATCTCGTCCAGCCACGTTGGACGGCGTGGCTGCAAGTTGTGATCAAAAGAACTGGGCCATTGAGGATGGGTCGAGTGCGGTGCAAGGAGAGGAATCCGCAGCTGCTGAAGGCACAGAGTCACAGGAGGAGTCAAGGGTTTGTGCTGACAACATGGCCTTGCCATCCTCAGATGCTACTTCTAAATGCTCCTCTCCGTCAGGTGGTGAGAGGCAGGGCCTGTTGCCTGCTGCGATGCTCGCAGGACAGCCTGATTCTTTAGCAGTGGCGGGGAGTGGCGGCACGAATGGTGAATGTGAGGTGGCGATTCCTGTGATTCCTGTGACGGCAGCTGAGTGCTCCGTGTGTCTGGTGGAGTTTGAGGATGATGCCATGCTGCGCCGCATGCACTGCTGCCGACACTTGTTTCACCAGGTGAGCATGGGGGAAGGGGAGTGGTGGTGGAACATGGGGAATAGGTAATGATGTGTCAATTTGGACCACCGAGTGGAGCCATGGCTCATGCTTGGCACTAAGAAACACGCACATGTCAGCATTTTGTAACTGCGGGCTTGCTTTCCTGGCGTCAAGGCAAGTGCATTTGCATTTATGGCTGATGGGCTCAAAGCTGATGCTCGTTGTGCTCTCATGCGTTCATGTCATCCCGCAGGATTGCTTGGAGAAATGGCTTGAGTACCGTCTGAGTTGCCCCATTTGTCGTGTAAAGGGGAAACACCTACTAACATCATCATAATTCAATAATTGTATGTACGGTACTGCAAGATTTGAGGCATCAGACTAACAGCAGATGCTTCACTGGTTTACTGGGCAAGGTGGATGGTAGGTATGTGTAGAAGTGTTGTAGCAGTGGCAACTACAGTGGTTTGAGCTATGCATATCCGAACAGTGGCTAAGCGCGGTAAAGGAGTTTATTCTGATCAGCTACCAAGCTCTTCAGTCCCCACTGGCCTCCCTGTGGACAGACTACAAGTGAGAACCACTCATTACCTAAAAATAACATACAGCGCCTTTGCTTTATGACGTGTCTCACTAGCTGGTAGTTGTCCATATAAACGAAAGCAATAATTTGCATTGCATATACTTAGCAAGATACGGTACAAGAACAACACTTATTTTCGCCCAATACGGACGAAGGGGGTTGTGTATCACCAAGACAGAGCCCCCACAGGATCTCTGTCCATCTTTGTCCGCTCCTCAAAACCCACCTCCAGTGAAGTCGCTTTCCCCAGCAGTCAATCAAACCATACCATCCACAATGAAGGATAAATAGTAGGAATGTGAGATGACCAACGAAGGTCGCCGTGATGCGAATGGATGTCAGCCGATGCCAGTTGTCACCTCTGTGTCTCTGCCTCAAATCGCTGGTCTAAAATTGATGCCTACGGCGAGGGAGTGACACCGGGAATGTAGCCGCTGGTGCCGCCGTAATCGCAGACGCCGAGGGTGCAGGTGCCTGGGCAGCGTTGGTAGCAGCCGCCGCAGTGCTCGAGGCTCGAGTCCAGGTTGGTGCACTTGCCGTCGCAGCACGACGTCGATATGTCGCAGAACGACCCGCACGCGCCGCAGTTATTCAAATCGTTCTTCGTGTCCACGCACACGCTGCCATGCCGCGGATTCAAGAATATTTTTCAGAAGAAAGGCTCATTGCACCAGGAAGATCATGGGATGAAACATTGCAAACGGTAGGTCTAGGAACGAGAGCGACGGGATATGGAAAGAGTCGCCATGGAAAAAACAAAGGGAGTGCAAAAGGAGGGGCTGCGTTGCAGGTTAAGAATCCGTCACGAGATAAAGTGGATCATTGACAGGGAGGTGATGATGAGCGCTTACGATCCGCAAGCGGTGAGGTTCATGGAGCTGCAGGTGACGAGCACTTGCAGCTTTCTCCACTTGACGCGATGCCCGCCGCTGCTGCTCCCCGCATTGCCACCATGCCGTAGCCGGCCAGAGCGAACGGAGTATTTCTGCACCCACCCGACACACATCATGACAAGAAGAGTAATTGCTCAGTTCAGACGAGAGCAACAAGGCTAAAATATTCGAATGAGGGAGAATAAGGGAGCTGAAGTTGTGCTCGACGACCCATGCAGTCAGAGCCGTGCGACTCAACCAGGATGAATGGCACCCGATGGCTTGATCTGACCCATTGTCGTGCTTAGAGAATGCGTACATTCCGCGGCAAACGGGGCTAGCATACTGCGAAAGAAAGGAGGAGAGTGGCAGGATTACGTTTCCCGACCAAACTCAGAGGGAGGCACCTCGAAGTCGCTGCTGGAAGGCATGCCCGCAGCAGGCAGGGTATTCGCTACCATGAAGAGAACGACCGTCGCAATGAAAAACACGTTGAGATTCATCCTGCTCTGCTGACTAGACATTTTATTGCCACTCGAGTCAGAATAAATACTAGCTGTCGTGGTATATGAGTCGGAAGCCAGGGAACCTGATCAAGGAAGTTAGCTACTATGAGTTCTTTATCACCTCAGATGCCACCTTGGGTGATGAGAAATGAATGGGGCGGAGGTCTAAAAGTGTCGAAGAAACGTGCAGCTCCGCGAGCGCGCGTTGGGAGCAGCCTAGTGGGAAGGTAGGAATAGGAACAGAGCTACTAGTAGGAGATGCAAGGGTCACATGTGGGAGCTCCGAGTGCAACAGCCATACCAACACTCGAAACTGCGGGCCGCATTCGCAATGCCTCGCTGCTCAACATTCGCTGGAGGACATTTTGGAAGCGCTCCTGTCGCCGCGCGCGTGCCTGTGGGTTCCACTCGAACACCCCATTCGATCAGTGTGGTCACTTCGCTGGCACCATGCGGCCTCTACACTACGCGACTCCGAGGGCGAGGGAGGGACTTCATGGGGGCCCTGAGGCACGTGGCGAGTAGTTACCGGTACGGCGGAAACTCCCGTTTCAGCGATGCAATGCGAGATTTCGCTACAAAGGAATGATTGGAGAATGTAACAAGGCTTTCGACTCCTCCGATCCAAGTAGGAAATACAATTTACACATGAGAGAACTGGAACATTGGCACTGAAAGATGGACCCTTGTATACTACTAGCCCAGAAAATATTTCATTTGATAATTTGTATATATTTATTAAAGGAAATTTCAGCAGTCTACTCAGATTCATTTTCATCGTGGACTCGTTTTCATTATCATTTTCACCAATACCAGTGATATTATAAACACAAAACAATAGCATAACAATTCTAAGTAGAACATGACTCTAAAACGCGATTTGTGGGTGCCTTGTTTTAGTGGAAGGTGAGTCACGTTGACCCGCCATACACCAAGGCGCTATCTTAGTGCGACCCATTCGTTAGAGGCAGTCTAGGATGAAATTCGCGCTTCGCGTCGTCCCAACGTCTAACAAGCCTTGCCGTACCCTAGTAGCGAAGCACTGCCACGTCACCTCCTTGGCATCGTAACGATGCCAGCTCACTATTCCACATGACACTCGCAGCAATGCCGGGTCGCTTCGTCCCATCGCCTGCGCTCCCCCCAGCCTCTCCCGGTACGAGCTACTCCCACGCTTCTCCCGGCAATTTCCCCTCCGACGAGCCCGGCTCGGCGCGCAATGAGCGAGGTCACCTCTCACCCACGGACAGGTCGCTTCCCGACGCATTTCGAGGTGTTCAAAGAACCTCCAGTGACCACGTGTCATCGGATAAGACAAATGAGCCTGCGGAGCCGTCGCCGCCTCGCGAGAAGTCGAGGGGAAGCGCGGAAGCGGAAGGCGGAACAGCCAAGAAGGAACAGATGGCGAAGGAGGCGGAAAAGGAGGCGCAGAAGGGGGAGGATGGGGAAGAGGAGCAGAGCAGTGGTGAGCGGAAGGGGCCAGGTGAAGTGCAGAAGAAGGGGGCGGTATCGGGGAAGACGGGGGAAGGGGGGATTGATGGCGGAAAAGGGGGGAGCGGGGAGGGCGAGTGGTGCGAGGCGCTGGCCGGGGAGGTTTGTCTGGTGGCGTGCAGGCGACCGCAGCTGCTGGCGCGCAGTGAGAGGGGGCGGGGCGCCGTGTGCGTGAACATCGATGATGAGCTGGTGTGTGGTGTGAGCTGTGTGCCACGTGGCGCTGTGGGGCGTGGTGGGTGGGTGGTGATGGGAGGGTGGTCGTTGGTGGGTGAGGTAGCGGCAACCGAGCAGTGAGTGAGAGGGGGCGGGGCGCCGTGTGCGTGAGCATCAATGAGGAGCTGGTTCGTGGCGCGTGCCATGTGGCGCTGTGGGGCGTGGGGCGTGGGCTATGGGGGGCGTGGTGGGTCGGTGGTGGGGGGTGGGTGGTGGGGGGTGGCTGGTAGGTGAGATACCTGCAGGTAACTCACCTACGGTGGTAGGTGAGCGGTGCTGATGGTGAAGTGAAGGGCCATGCTGCTGAGAGGTATGGGCACTACGCTGTTTCCTGGCAACTGCCAAAGTCTATTCTCGCGGAAATGGACGGTCTTCCCCTCCCCCGCGGCCGCCCCCCCCTTTCACCTTATCACCTCCCGAATTTCTTCCCCATACACGAACCCCCAACTCCAACCCCCCCCCCCCCCACCACCAGGTGTACGAGCCGTACTGCATGGACTTTGGCCCGCTCAGCCTGGCGTGCATCCACCGCTACTGTGACACCATGGACCGCGCGCTGCAGGTGATAGGGGGTTGCGTTGCACCAGCCACGTGGGTGGGCTGTGGTGTTCTGCGTGCTGTCGATGATAGCTGGGTGCCTGCACGTGGTGCCCTGCACGTGGTGCCCTGCACGTGGTGCCCTGCACGTGGTGCCCTGCACGTGGTGCCCTGCACGTGGTGCCCTGCACGTGGTGCCCTGCACGTGGTGGTGCGTGGTGTCACTCATTGCGTGCCATGCCATGTCATCAGAGGCCTCGCCTTCTCTTGCCACCTCATGCCACCCCATGCCACCCCATGTCAACCCATGCCACCCCGTGCCACCCCTTGCCATCCAATGCCATTTTGTGCCCTTCGGCTCTGTGTGCTCACCTGCGGCATGCAGGAGGGGCGGGGGCTATCAAGGAGGGTGGTGCATGTGTGCAGCAGCGTGCCCCACAAGAAGGCCAACGCCGCCTTGCTCGTCAGTAGCCCCTCCTTACGCTCCCTCTCTGCTCCGCACCGCACTGCTCCCTCCTTCTCTGCTCCGCACCGCACTGCTCCCTCCTCCTCTGCTCCGCACTGCTCCCTCCTTCTCTGCACCGCACTGCTCCCTCCTTCTCTGCTCCGCACTGCTCCCTCCTTCTCTGCACCGCACTGCTCCCCGTGGGTGCCTCTGCTCTGCTGTGACGCGCATGCCACTGCCGTTGCCCCAGTGCCCCGTACCTCACCCCTACCTCCCTCCTTTTCCTCCCCTTTTCCACCTACCCTTCCCTTACCGCCACCCGTTCTCCTTCCCACCTCTGCCTTTCTCCCGCCCTCTCCCTCTCCCAGCTAGCAGCGTATCTCATTCTGCGCCATGCCATGCCGGCCAATGCCGCCCATGCGGTGCTGCGCCCCTTGGAGCCGCTGCCACCCTTCAGGGATGCGTCTAACGGCGTGTGCACGTTCCACATCTCTGCACTCGACTGCTGCCAGGTGTGTATGTGGCAAGGAGTGGCGTGCACGGAGTGTGTGTGAGTGGGGTGTGCGTGTGGGGCCACGTGTGTGTGTCCATCACCCATCCCCTCATCTCCCCATCCCCCTATCGGCCCATTCCCCCATGCTAGGCACTAGAGCGGGCACAGGAGCGGGCCCTTATTGCAGGGTTCAGGGTGGGCGAGTACGAGCGGCTGGAACAGGCCGACCTCACGTGGATGCTGCCGGGGCGGCTGCTCGCCTTCAGCACCCCCGCTGACGACCCCGCTAGTGTCATGGTGGGTGCTTTGGTGGCCGTGATGGTATGGTGGGTGGCATCAAAAGTGCATGGGGGCATGTGAGTTGCATGCATGGTGTGATGGTGGGTGGCATGGGTCATGTGGCATGCTGTCATGTGGCATGCTGTCATGTGGCATGCTGTCATGTGGCATGCTGTCATGGCTGTGTGCTCCCTAGACGCCTTCCCAACTCCGATGCTCGCTGTTGCTGCTCCACTGCACATCCCCTCTATGCCGCTAACCTGCCGTTACCTCGCACTGCCACTCCTTCCATTCCCCCACTCCATGGTACCGCCTGCATCTGCCTACCCTGGTCAGGAAGGCTACTTGACGCCTGAGGACTATGTGCAGTACTTCCGACAGGTGTGCTGTGCATGGGGGTTGCGCAACCAGGCCACTTTGTTTCACCTAAGGGTTGCTTGCTTGCTTGTATGTATTCCCCTGCTGAGAAGGCACTTCAGAAATCAGAGTCAACTGCATCTTGGCCCGACGACGAGGAGACTCGTTGCACTGGTTTCAATAGCCTTGTAGCCATGTGTGGACATGTGCATGTGCGCATCAATGTGTGTGTGTGTGCATGTGTGCGACAATGTATGCATGCATGCAGGCGGGCATAGCGGCCATAATCCGGCTCAACAGGAGGGTGTACGACAAGAGGCGATTCACCCGCCATGGCTTTGCGTTCTATGACCTCTACTTCCCCGATGGCGGGTCAGTCAAGGCTGGTGGTCAGTCAGTGTAGCCACGTGGTGTGTGGTGGACTGGACTGGCTAAGCGGGTGGATGCCTTGGTGTGGTGAATTGTCTGTGCGAGCCATGGGAGGCGGTTCACTCGCCCGCCATGGCTGTGCCTTCTACGGCTTTTGCTTCGCTGATAGCGGGTCAGTCGAGGCTGGGGATCAGAGTAACGATGTGGTGAGTGGTGAACTGGCTAAGCGGGTGAGTGCTGGGGTGTGGTGTATCGGCTGTGCGACTCATGGGTGGTGATTCTTTGCGGTGCGTGGAGGACAGGTCAGCACACAGGCCTTTGATATGCCTCAAACCTCCCATTTTCGCTGCAATCTTTCCCTCTACACTCTCCTTCCCTCCTCTCCCTGCCACCCCCCCCTCCATACCCCTTCAGGGCCCCATCAGACGGCATAGTGCGGCTCTTCGCCATGGTGGAGGGCAGCAAAGCAGCGCAGGCACTGCAAGGTGCTGCTGTTCCCTTGCCTCCTCTCCCCCCTCCCTCACCTCATCAGAGCCCCCTCGGACGGCATAGTGGAGCGCTTCTTTGCTGTGGTGGAGGGCAGCAACGGGCCCGTGGCCATCCACTGCAAGGTGCTGTCGCCCCCTTCCCCACTCCGCTTTGCATCGCTGCCTTCAGCACTCACGCTGCTTGGCTATATTGCAACAACCCCTCCTTCTGCCACGCGTTTATAGTGCGAAGTTCCAGTCTTAACCACTGCACTGCACTGGACCCCATAACACCCATGCGCTCCCTCTCACTACTCCCTCTTTTGCTTCTCTCCCTTGCCTCCAACCACCTCCCTAAACTGGCTCTCCTTCCCTCATCGCTCCTCCCCCCTTCCCCACTGCGCTGCTGCTGCTCCCCCAGGCGGGGCTGGGGCGAACGGGGGTGCTGGTGGGGTGCTACCTCATGAAGCACTGCGGCATGACGGCCAGAGAGGTGAGGGGCAGTGGGGAGGTGAGGACGGTGGGATTTGTGGGTGAGTGAGGGTGGGTGCACCGTGCTGGGAGGTATTTGGGGGTGCTGGTGGGGTGGTACCTCATGAAGCACTGCGGCATGACGGCCAGACAGGTAAGCCTGGCGGATGGTGAGGATTGGTGGGGGAAGGTGAGGGGGGTGGGGAGGTGAGAGCGGGTGAGAGCAGGGGATTCTGGTGGGGTGCTGGTGGGGTGGTACCTTCTGAACCACCGCGGCATGATGGCCAGGCAGGCAAGGCTGATGAGGGGAGCTTTGGTGAGAGAGCAGTGATTGGGGAGAGTGCAGGGCAGATGTCATCACAGCATGCCATGCCTCTCCTGCTCGTGACATCCCCTCACACTCTCACACCCTCGCATCCTCATACCCTCCCGCCCCCAACTCTTCCTCCCCCCACCTCATCCACGCCCCACCAGGCCATAGCATACACGCGGCTGGTGCGGCCGGGGTCAGTGATCGGGCAGCAGCAGCACTTCCTGGCGCTCATGCACCCCCGCATGGCACGCGCTGTGAGTTCACCCGAGCATGGCGCTCGCTGTGAGTGCACCCCCGCACGGCACGCGCTGTGAGTCCTTGTCTCATCTCTGCATGGCACTGCAGCATGGTGCGAGCAGTGATATCACATCAGGTCATCTCCATGTGCAATGTGCGCCTCTCACCCTTGTCATTGCCATGCCCACTCCCACGGGCGCTTCTGTTCCTGTGACTAGCCGTGCTACCCCGTGCCATGACGAATCAAGCATTCTCATTGCCCTCATGTCTCCCACCCACCCGCACCGCTCTCTGCTCTGTCGTCCGCACATCACAGGGAGAGGAGTTTCGGCGCAAGACCCGAACGCTCTCGCCCTTCTCACCTCACACCACCACCACCACCAGCACTGCACCCGGCAACCCGCCCCCTGTGCACCCCCACGCTCACGCTTCCAGCCTTGCCCTGCCATCGCGGACGGGGCGCAAGGTGTATGCGCGCACGGACGAGCAGGCAGCAGCAGCTGTCGCCGACCTGCAGTTTGCCCGCCACTCGCGCTCACTCGCCCGCACTGGCTCCGTGCCTGTGCGGCCAGGCTCGGCCGGGCCAGTGCGGTCAGGCTCGTCAGTGTCCGTGTCGCTGCGGTTGCCCCTGGGGAGGAGTGTGAGCCGGCCAGGCAGCAGCAGCGGTGGCGCCGAGAGCAGCATGAGTGGCGGCGGTGGTGGTGGGGGAGAGGACATTGGACCCAAGCGGAGAAGGCAGCGGGAGGGTGGGGGGAGGGAGAGGCGTGCAGCTAGTGCCGCCACCACACCTCGTGCTCGTGGGGGTGGTGATGGGGTGGAAGGGGTAGAGGAGGGAGGAGGAAGCGGGGAGGAGGGTGAGGAAGGAGGCGAGGGAGGAGAGGAAGCGGGTGGGGTGGGAGTGCGGGAGAGCGGGGCATGGGTGAGGCTGAGAAGGCTCGGGGGGAGCATGCGCATGCCATTTGACTCCTTCGCCCTCTCCCTCTCCTCCTCGCCTGCCCTGCGTCGCCCCATCAGCAAATCAGCTTCCATGTCCCCATACACGCCCATGCCCCCCATCATCCCCATGACTCCCCATGCCCCTATGCTTGTATCCCATGCATCTTCTGCCCTGCACCCTGGCATGGCGTCCCCCGAGCCTCGCCATGTGAGGGCTGCCAGGCGCCTCAGGCTGAGGGGGGTGTGGGGGGCTGCTGATGCGATGCGGATTGGGGGAAATGTGGGGAAGGAAGCAGGGGAGGGTGGTGGTGATGCGGGGGAGGTGCGTGTGGCGGAGGGCGGTTGTGGTGCAGGGGATGGGGAGGGAGGAGTGCGGTGTGGTGATGGGGAGTGCAGTGCGGTGGAGGATGGTGCTGCTGTACGAGAAGCAGAATGTGTAGGTGAGGAGGGTGCTGGCGCAGCAGATGGAATGGGGGGAGGCAGGGTGGGAGAATCAGCAGGGGTGTCAGCGAGTGTGGGAGCATCAGAGAGCGTGGGGGTGTCAGTGCAGGCAGAAGAGGATCCAAGTGTGCTTGCATTTGCATCGAGGTTGGACAGTGCTGCACAGGCTGCACCAATTGAAACAGTGGCATCAGGTCATGAAGGGCTGGTGGCAGCAGCAGCAGTGGCAATAGAGAAGGGAGGGCCAGAGGCAGCAGCAATGGCACCAGATTCTGAAAGGGCACAAACATCAGCATCAGCAGCAGCAGCAGCAGCAGCAGCAGAGGGGATGGGGGTGGGCAGAAAGACACACTCACGGGCGGCCTCATGGCTGGGCTTGTCCTTTTGCGGCCTGCTGCCATGCCAGCCCACACGACCACCACCATCACCCTCATCATCACTCTCACTCTCACCACCCACATCGCCAGGACCATCCCTGCCTCCCACCTCACTTGCTGCTGCAGGGCCCACAGGCACACGTACAGCCGCAGTGAACCCTCATGGGTCTCCCCTCCCCGTCACAGCAGCCCCCCTTCAAGCTTGCCCTCCCTGCTCCGCCGCAGGTGCAGCAGAGAGAAGGGGGGATGCAGAGGGAGCGGCAGAAGAGCCAGTGGTAGAGGCAGTCGGTTCAGCAGGGGCATCAGCAGGGTTGTCTTTAGGAGACAGAGAGGAACACAGTGGCACAGCCACAGACCAGTACACGCCAGCAGATGCCGCCCCAACGCCTGGGGTTGCAGGGACACACGAGTATACACCAGCTGATGCGGACCTGGCTCCTAGGTTTGGGCGCACACAGGCGGCTGGCGTGCAGGGTGCAGGGGGGCAGCAAGCAGGGGGGCCCAGCAGCACAGTGGTGAGAGTGATCAATGCAGGGGGGCAGCCCAGGAAGGTGGTGGTGCCGGCAGGTCAGGAGGGTAGAGGAAGGGGAGTGAATGTAGAATCAGGGTTGAGAGGGGTGGGTGGGCATGCGCAGGCGGTTTCCGTGGCTAAGTTTGGTGCGGTGCAGGGCGGTCGGTTTAGGCTTGGTGTGAGAAGATAGCATGCCAAGCTAGCTGTACACTCTTGCTGCTGCCCACCCTATTGCTTGTCCAATTCCTTGTTGGCTTATTGTGACTTGGCTTCTCTTTGCCCCAGTGCACGTGCATGGGTGGTAGTTATTACTGGTGGTATCAACTGCTGCCCCAGCCCACTCATCACATGCTTCCCCAACCAAAAAAATCCACCAGCAAAGCCGCACAGAACCAAAAAAATCCACCAGCACAGACCCGAGCAACCCACCAGCAGGTCTAGCTACCGAGTTCCACATACCGTATTTCAAAAGGATGTGTAAGGTTGGCTGAGTGCTGTAATTGCATCACTGTGGAGTGGAGCCTTACAGCAACTTGTCATAATGGTACATACGGTACAAATCCATTGTACATAATTTACCTATGGCACACACAATCACCACCATCAGTGGCCTAAAGGGCTACTACTTGACGCCCTGAGCGTCTTTCCTCGGCCGTAGGTCCCACGCCAAACCGAGTCGCAGGTAATAGCAGACACCCCCATGCAGTATCTCAGTAACCAATGGCGGCTACTGGCGACCAGCTCGGTCCTTAAAGCCTGTCAACGGTGCCCCGCCAGCATCCCCGGCGCCTTCCAGCCTCGGCAGTCTTGAGCAACAACTGCGCAACCGCCCGCCGCGCGCATCACTCGCGTAGTCTTCTCTCGCCCAGCAGCCTGCGCCCCACCGCACTCGCGATCCCCGGACCTACATCCCCTGCCCCTTCCGCCTCCTCCCCCTCCCCCATCATCTCCGCCACCGCCCACGACCCGTCACTCTCCTCTCTCCGCGCGCCGGCGACTCCTTCCGCCGCCTTGAACCGCGAGAACGCGCAATCCGCGGCGACGAGGCTGGACGATCGGTAGCTGTCGACGGAGCCGTCAAGATAGCCGTCGCCGTTATCTCCTGCCACCTCCCAAGCCTGCGCGTCGCGGCTCCATTGCAGGCTTACCGCGAAGGATCGCTCCTTCTGGGAACTCCGGAACGTTTGCCCCATCACGCCGTGCGGGTCGGTCAACCCTCCCCCAGATAACACCTCCACCGAGAAATGCACAAACGCGTCCACTGGTGATTGCCGGTCGACCGCCTCTGGCCTAATATGGACAAGGAAGTCCGCCCCTTGCCGGCCACCGGACTGAATTCTGAGAGTCTCGGTTTCCACGCCGTTTGATTCGGTGACCCCCACGTGGTGCACTCTCAGCGTGCCGTCGTCGCTCTCTAGGATGTGCGATGGTGACAGTCGCTGGGCGACATCGTCTAACACTATCGACTGCAAAAATCCGTCGCCGAGCGACGCGTCTGCCCCCTGCCGCGCTCTAAGCTGCAGCGAGTGGCCGGCCACGAGCACGCCTATCGCCTTAACCCATGTGCGCTGCGTGACGCCTGGAGTAATGTTAGCATCGCTGCCTGAACTGATCGAATCGTCGCCTAGACTACCCGAGTCGCCGGCCATTTCCATGTTGATGTGCAGCGAGGGGTCGGAGAGCAGGCAGTAGGCCTCGCCCGGCACGCCGGTGAATCGGAAATGAACGCCATCTGCGCCCTCGAAGTGCGGATCGCCGAAGAAGGATGCTATTGGCCGCTGCTCCGCTGCTGCTAGACCTAGTCTCGAGTTGGTGAGCACTATGAGAACCACGAGTGCTACTACGCGATTGTGACAGGCTGAAGCCATGTGTGCGGACAATGAAAGGAAGAGATGTGGTTGTGTGGAGATACAAGCTAAGATCCGTTACCTAGTGTCTCTTGTTAGAACAGTGTCATTTGTGATAAGACTGAAGGAACAACCAAAATCAACTGGCTTTGTTAGCAAAGGAGAAGGGGATGGAGTGGGATGGGATGGGATGAGTTGCGATGGGAGGGGATGGCAATACTGTGCTCGATTTTGTGTTCTGTGTTGGAGGATGCACCAAGGAAGGATGCGGAGGGTGTGCAGACAGGGTGGAAGAAGGGCGGAAAACATGTGCCAATAGCGCAGGTGAGGCGGACAATTCACCCGCCCTTTCTCCACCCCGTGATCGTTTCTGAAGGTAGGTGTGGGGGGAGGGCGCTAACAGCAATGCGCCAAGCGCGCCAACCAGATAGCCCCCACCCTGGGTCTTCTTTTCTCTGGCGACAACGACCTAATCACACCTGCGATCTGCACAAGAAACAATCTTCAAATCGAAGCCGTCAGGGTCCCTCGCAGAGTAACACGTGACCGTCGATTGCAGTGAGTTACAGTCAACCATATACACAGAGCACTCCCGAGATTTGTGTGATTGCACCTGCGACGCGGGCGGCCTGGGCGTGCCACTATCAGCAAGGGGATCTGGCGTGGGCACCATGGATCCTGCTGTCGCTGCGAAAGCCAGTCGCGAAACGGATTACAGCCGGGAAGGCTGGTATGGTAACATCTCGATTGTGGGGCTTCGTTTTTGTATTAGGTGATTTCAGACTGAGCGAGAATTGTGGCACCTGATATGTACCTTCATAACAACAACTATTTACAAATGTGTGTGCGTATGGCGAATGCGTGTAACAGTGATTGCAGTAGCACCAACCAATGACCATGTGGACTCGCAAATGCTGATCTGATGACATGTCAACTGCGCAATCCCGTACCCGCAATTCGGACGTCGGGGAAAGCCAGAACAGATTCTTCATCCAGTGTAAGAGCAACACGTGGCCAACCCTGTCTTCCCTTCTCTGCCTATGTGAGAAAGAGCGACACGGCACTGAGGGAGTGATCATGAATCAATTCAAGCCAAGCCAAGCAAAACTTGGAGCATGACAGCCACAAGCTCATTTGCCGTCACATCACTTCGTCATCAGTATTCCTGAAAAGTTTCTCCACAGCAAAGCAGAAACTAGGAACGTGCTCCCTCAGCAGCCATTTCACAAATTCCGCTCACTAGCCATCCTCATGGCTGCCATAACCTCGTTCGGAAATCTGTCTGTGAAGCTGCAAAGCAACGCCTTCATTGGTGAGATGCTGATCACCACAATTACCGCTGATCACCTCATTTACCGCTGTACCGTAAAAGCGAGCAGCAGTCTAAACTGAAGCTTTCCTTTCCATTTGCAGGCCAGAGGCTTAGAAGTACTGCAGTTCCGACTTGTCAGGTAGGCGAACTTCCGCCGCATTCTGAACACTGCGCCATCCGATGGTCCCGCGGCTTTAACCTTGTCACGTCGATGCCTCTGTTAGGTATCGCATGGCCGGCCAGCGTCGTTGGCGGTGAGAGCTGAGGCAGCGGACGGCGAGCGGAAGAAGACGGGCGCCGAGCTGCGAGAGGAGTTCTTTTTGGCGGCCGCCACTGGCAAGGAGAGAGGGTGAGTCGAAGGAATCGCAACGCAGAATGAAAAGCATTTGTATGGGCGAAGCAGAGTAGGAAAGCAATAGCAGGAAAATTTTGAGACGTGAGCCTTTTATACCTTGCCCTTTTAAACTCTTGCTCGAATCTCTTTATCTTCCCTCTTCTTACATCACATTGTCATTTTGACGTAGTGTTAACCCCTGTCTCCTCGGTCCTCTCAACGATGCTCTCTTGAATCCCCATAGTCTGCCCGAGGGCGCGTTTCTGAACGACAATGTGGTGGACGGGCCCATGGTGGACATCACGTGGGAGCCGTACGGCGACACCTGCAGCGCGCCGGTGAGTGCTTACAACGCCACCTATTTTTCGTTTCGTAGGTGCGTGGCTCCCACAGTGGGAATTGGGACGAGAATGTCGAAGTTTGTAGGAAGACTTCAAGCTCTGGAAACTAAAGCATTGGTTGAAAATAAAAGTGATTCACTTTGGTCCATTCACAAAGTGAAGGTCATCATTCATCGTTCAGCTGATATTATCTGCCCAAAATGTGTAGCAGTAGGATTATTTGAATCTGGAATGCTGCACAATCCGGACGTCTTCTCCCCACCAGTTTCCTTACTCCCTCTCGATATTCTCAGACACAGCTTTTTCTTTCAAATACCCTATTCACGCTCACCCGTTCAATAATGTCAGGAGGGTTCCAGTCTGCTAAAGGCTGCTGTCGACGCGGGTGCCTTGACGATTGACAACCGCTTCTGCCTCACAGGGCAATGTGATGTTTGCATCGTTGAGCTTGACGGCGAGGTGATGAGGTCATGCATGAAGCCAGTTCCAACGTGAGTCAGACTATTGGAAGCAGGGCTTTAACAAGGGGACCAGAATATGTGGATTACAACTTTCACGTCATGTCTATGTGCACGCACACACATGTGGTCCGTGCAAGTACACTTCTCTGCCTGTGCATTTGACTCTTCCATCTCGTCCAATTGCATTTGTTTTGTGTGCGTGGCATGTGTAAATGCAGGGGGCAAAAGAGTATAACATGCCTCGTCCTTGATACTGATGACGCCTGGTGAGTTTAATTGGAGTTTTCTGGTTTATTGTCTCTTGGCTGGCTAGAAATCTGACCCTACTTTCATGTGCAGGGACGAAATGATGGTTTGAGGATCTTGATGTAACTTATATGCGTCAACCCACACCTCTTCACGACTAGTGGATCTCATTGTTGTATCGAGGACATTTCTGCACTCCACCCAAAACTTGGTGGCTGTGCAAGATTTTTCGTAGAGGAACTCAAACATCTAGTGATCTGAACCACAACTTCCATCAATGTCGATGGTGGTGTGGCTTACGCTTAGTGGCTATGGTTTTCGCCGAATCGAATGCTTACATCATTACTACCCCAAAACACGTGTTCAGATTCGGACCAGCTGTTCGTGGATGGAATAAAATAATTTGCTTGGATGAGTTGCCTAAACATGAAATTGCACTGTAACCTTATTCACGCGCTTCATTAGACCCAAATTCTTCTCCATCTATACTTTTGCATACCACAAAGCCTATTGGTTCCCCAAGCAAACGTATTCGTCCAATCATATCTTCCGCAGGTATCAAGGAGCTGCCACGTAGCCCTTGATTCTGCCCTCCCGCTTTGGGATTCCCGATTTGTATCTCCCTCCTTCCCCTCCACTGCATCTGCCC